GGCTCAAGTGGTAGAGCGCTAGCCTTGAGCTGAAGAGCTGAGGGACAGAGCCCAGGCCCAGAGTTCAGGCCCCATGACCGGACCCCCCCCCAACAAACAAACAAACAAACAAAAAGCCTCTCAGGGGCTTGATATTATTTCCCTTCATTTCCCAGAGAAGAAACCCAAAGCTCACCAACTGGCCCAGGATCACAAAGCTAAAGAGTATATTGTGAGCATTGGAACCCAGATCTGGCTGCCTGTAAAGCTTGTATATTTGACATCCAGACCAGCTACACGTGGCTAACTGAATTCTAATTAATTCAAATCCAAAAGAATTAGAATAGACAATGTTTCCACCACACTGGCCACCAATAGCCATATATGGCTTGTGGCTACTATATTGGATCCAGACAAAAGTTCTTTTGGGCTACATGGGTTAGTTCTGCCTTAATTGGACACCATTTGTCTTCCTGCTCACCACCCCTTCCTTGCCCAACCTGAACCCAGAAGTAGTGTTCTGAATGCTTCAGGCTAGAAGAGTATTCTTTTAGAGTCTTTCCTGCTCCTGATATGTCTGCTGGGGTAGCTGTTATTTTTTCAGCATGGGAACTGTTAACCCTGAAAATTTCACATATGATTTCACTCATAATCATTCTTAGCAATAGCTATTCTGTACCAGCTACTGGCCATATTTGACACATCATTAAATTCTTGCAATAACCCTATGAAGCAGGCATTGCACTCCCTGTTTCATCAAGGAGGAACTGGAGGGTCATGCAAGTTCAGTAACTGGTCAAACATCATACTGTTCTTAAAGCCAGGATGCCAGGCCAAGTGTCTACTTGAGGTCTGCATTCTTCTCATCAGCTCCTCCAAAGTTTGGTTTCCCGGATAGCCCCAAAGGGTTTAATTCCCTTCTGCCTGGGGCTTGGGAGTATAACAGGTCTAATAAGATCCATATGCTTATGGTCTCACCTGCTTTTAGTTCGATCCAGGCCTGCTAAAGGAGCCTACATCACTGTTTGGCCTCTGTCCTTTTCTTAGGCTGCCAACTGCTCCCCTGACAGATTCCAAGGCCTTGACGGGAGGCCAGATGGGAGCTCACACTCCTGCCTTGGGTCCTCATGAAACTGCCTTCTTGGATTCTTTTACAGAGGCAAACACAAAGGAGCAGACACAGGCTAGCCTTGAGCCTACAACATGGCTAGCTGAGCTGCTGTTTATTCCCTTCTGCCTCTGCTCCCTGGGGTACCACCTCCTTAGGCTTCTGTCTTCCTGTAGTCTGGAAGGTGGGAGTGGAAGGAAAGGAAAGGCTGGGGGTGGGGGACATTCCACTGGAGGAGGCCCTGTGTGGGAGTTCCAGATGAGTTCCATTATTTGTGAATGGGACCCGTTTGTTTATCTCTAAGGCAATAAGCCAGGTATTTTGTTAGTCTTATAAACAGGAGTTGTAGGGTTACTAAGCGCAGGTTACTCGGTACATCATGAACTCCAGCCATGTTTAGGTTGATGTAAACCTCTTATCAGCACAGCTGAAACCTGGCATTTGCTCCTAGAGTTGGATTCCTGAGAGGAACAAAAGCAATCCCATCATTATGCAACTAGGGGTGAGCCCTGAGGAACAGTAGCTTGGGAGGCAAATTCCTGGCTAGGATTTAAAAAAAAAAAAAAAACTGTTTCCATAGGCTAGAGTCTTCTGGTCTGTCTAGGAAGGGCTAGGTCTGACATCCCCTGGCTTATCTGTGAGCCTACAAGCTGAACAACCAACCCTATTCTCACAGGACTTGACTTTTTCCTGTTGAGGCCCAATTCCACAATCTGAAAATTGGGATGAATGAAGTCTTTTCAAAGACTATATGAAACCAAAAGATGCCAGTGAAGACTTGAGGTTGAGAATGGTCTATGGGCCCACATTAACCAGGTTAGACTGAGGCTGAGTGACAGACCAGGTGATAGTCACTCAGGGGAAAGCAAAGAGAACTGGTATAAATTGCTACATAAAAGCCAGACTGAGATAGCCTAACCTTAGGAGTTTCCAGTACTAAGGCTGCCTCCAGCCACAGTTTAGGGAACTCAAATGATTATCTCTAGATCTTGCACAGCCATCAGGCTAAGCTGGCCACACAGGCATTTTGCTTAAAGGTGATTATTAGACATGAAGACATCTGATTTTTTTCTTGGCCACCAACTATCTCAGGAGATAATTTGTGTCATGAGAGCTACCAGCATTCTGTGGTCCCATGTTGTTTTCAGCACCTCACTACAGTTGATCTCCCTTATTTCTAGTAGTCTTGATCAGAAGCTCTCCTATCTTCACCCTCTCCTGCTCCTAGTTAGCTCTTCTGAAAGATAGAAATATAGGAGTGATGCGCAGTTCCCCAGTGGGAGGACCAGGAACTATGCCAGCTTGTGAACTTGAGTCTTCTAAACCCTGACTTCTCTACCCATTCCCTGGGCTTGCAGTCATCCAGACAGTAGGTCAGGAGCTAGGTAAGGAAAAGGTCAGATGGCTTGCTCCACCATTTGGTACCTGTTTTTTTTACTTCTCTACTCACTATACAAGCACAGATTCTCCAGAATGTGAATGGAACCCCAACACCATAGGCAACCCCTAAAAACATTAGTTTTGGTGGGAACCCAGTATCTGCACCACCAAGGGTGATCAAGAAACCCTGCTTTTGGGATCTCAAGTCCTTAACTTTCATTAGGAAAAGGTGGCATTTTCTTTAGGGGATCTCTTCCTATGTTGGTATACCCTGGAATAGAGAAACAGGCCCAGCAAGCTGGCAGCAGGTAGCCCTTTGATTATTTGAGCTATGAACAAGAATTCCCTCCAAGGTACTCCTGCTGCTCCTATGTTACCCAAAGTCTATCTTGGGAAATCTTGGGAGGCCAAGCCTAGGCCAAGCACATTTCCAGAGGCTTCACCCTAGCCAGAAGGCAATGAGTCAAGCTCTGGGTGCCCCGACTCTTTTTGGAATTGCTTTAGATCTTGGGACAGTGACAGGAAGAAGTTGGAGCCAGAAGCAAAGGAACAAGTCAGAAGTGAGAGGAGGAAAGAGCCAGAGCGACTAGGCAATAGTTTACCTTGCCTGGTTCTCCACACAACAAAGAGCAATACCACCTCTCCGATGCACACACATATAAAACTACAAGAAGTCAGCCTTAAACATTTGAAACAGGGAAAAATTAAAAAGAAGGTCTTGCCAGGCCCCAGTGGCTCACATCTGTAATCCCAGCTACTCAGGAAGCTGCGATCTGAGGATCGTGATCTGAAGCCAGCCCAGGCAGAAAAGTCCCCATGAGACTTTTATTTCCAATTAACCACTCAAAAACCAGAAGTGGAGCTGTGGCTCAAAGTGGTAGAGTGCTAGTCTTGAGCAAAAGAGCTTAGAGATAGCACCCAAGCCCCAAGTTCAAGCCCCACAACCACCACCACCAAAAAGTTCTCTCAGCTAAATAGGATGGCAAGGCTAAAAAGCAATAGCTGACATTTCAGTTTGGCCACATAAAACCCATCCATTCTAACAAATGGGTTACCAAAGGTAAATGCAGTGAAAAGCTGCTTACTCTGTACCAGGCACTAAGTCAGATGCTTTCCATACTCTGCTTAAATCTTCAACACAATGCTTGAACATGAGTGTAAATTCTATTTTGCTGGTGAAGAAGCTGAGGTACAAAGAGATAGGTAACCCCCCCCTCTCTCTTTCGCCTGTTTCACTTCAAAGTCTATGTTTCTGGTCATCACGCTATCTCCCATCTTTGTTGCTACATCTGTGAAGTTGAGCCAAAACAAACCCAAAGCATGCAAGCAAGGCTGCCCCTGGCATTGTCTATGCCCCTGGCATTCTACCTCTGGATGTTTGGATGTTTTCTTTGGGAATACTCAACGTCTTTGGTCATACTGACTGTGGGAGACACAAAGGATGGGAAAGCCTCATTCATTTGCTTGTAAGATGAGCAGAACAAATGTACATGTAACCTTGTCTTTTACCACAACTATACAACTAGCGAGGCCTATATCTGTTTATCATCCGAACCAGGACACTCTTGGCCTTGAAAAATGACCATTAATAATTATGCTGCAATAGTCATGAACTGGGACAATACTGGAAGCACCAGCCTATGAGATCACTGTAGTCATAAAGTATGTAAATGATATTTATCCCGGAGGACAGAGGTAAGAAGGAAATGAAATGGCTGTGATAGCTGTTCCCTGAAATGAGCCCCCAGGAGCCTGACATCTGGGAATGCTCCATTCTGCTTTGGGGAAGATGAGCTCCACTCCTTGACTCTCTGTGGTAAGAAGATTAAAAGCTCTGCTTACTTCCGAGATATCGGGAAGAAACCAAACCTGGGGAACTGTTCAGCCTGACATTCTGTCCTGCGCCAGGTTCACTTAGAGGACGATTAGCAGAAGCAAGATGTAGACAGAGTTGATAGACTCTTCCAAGGTGGTCCCTCCTTTCAGAAAAGCCCCCTTTGTCTGAACTCCTTCACTGTGACACCAGATAAGAAGGTAGAAGGCAGAGGCCTCTTTTGTCAAGGGATTAAGTGAACTCAATTGTATAGAGTTCTGGAAAACTTCACTGTTACTTAGCAGTGACACCAGCCTCAAGCATAGCTAATTCTTTCTTGCAGCTTTGAAGGCAAAGATAGTTTCTTCCAAGAATAGGGCTTCACACTTTGGTTGGGCAGTTTGGATATGCCCACATAGGACCTATCCCACAACATAGACAAATGCAAGAGATCCTTTGCACAGATCCTCCCTGTGCAAAGATACAGCATGGTACAATAGCAAAGAATGTTGGACTCAGTGTTGGGTTGCAAGTACAGCCCATCACTTACTTAGCTGGGGAAGCCACGTGTGTTTTCCCTCTGCTTCCCTCTCAGGCATTTCCATTGATTTCATGCGAGTAAACCTATTCTGTGCATTGAACATTCTCAGAGAATGTCTGCGCCTTCCAGCAGATGGGATCATCATGAAGCCATCTCACAGATAGTTACCTGGTCCAGGTGACTTGCTACTTCTTAGATGGTTAGTCTCTTATTGTTATCATTACCTCCTTCCCGGATTAGTTTAAGATACCCCAGAGTACCTTCCATCTGTGTGAATGAAATCCCCAGGAGACTCTTTGCAAGTTACATGGAAGGAGCTGGCCAGATCTTGGGGCACCAGGATTTGATTGTCACTCTTTTCTCTGTTGAACTCATGGACCCATTTTAGGGAGCCCAGGGGACTGGAGCTGAGAATCTCAGTGGCTGGTCCGAGGGCCAGTGAATAATCATAGAAATAGCTGTGCCTCAGCTGCTCCTTTATCCAACTAGGAATAAACAGGGGTGAAGATGGGCTGGGACAAAATGAGACCAAAGGGGAGGAATTCAAAATGGTCCAGTTGAGTGAAGAGTAGACCTTCTGGGGAAAGAACAGAGGCATCTCATATGTCTGGTACCTGTTCTGATGTCCTCTCTTTCCAAGTTGCCCAGTTGGGTGGTGGCAGTGTACGGTCCAGAAACCTGTCTATATGGAGGGGGAGTGGATGGGACAAGCATGAACCAGGCTGTCCAACTAACTAGCTGTTCCATGAGAATAGAAGTCGACCATGGAGCAGCAAGCCTGGATCTCAAGAAGTGAATCATATAACGCACAGAAACCATCTGTCCTATTTCAGTGGCTTGGGAATCCTGGAGCCTTGGATCCGGTACATGGCTGCCAGTGGACAGCTGGGATGTCTAGAGATGCCAAGGGTGTCCCCGGGGGAAATCCTTGGTGTCTCCAGTGTGCAGGTGATGAGCTGGCAGAGTGAGATGTTAGAAAGGACGTGCTGGCTCTGAAGCTTGAAAAGTTGACTTGTCCTGACACTTCCCTACATTCTTTGCTGGCTTTTCTACCTCTTGGTTCATAGGCAGATGCCAGAAACTGTTCTATACAGGAGAAACACAGTTTTCATCTCTGGGTTTGCAATGAATGTATCATAACTTCTTTGTGGAGGAGCCTCCTGGAGTCAGGTATGGTGGTTCTAATAAGGTCCTAATAATGAAATCTTTGCTCACCCTTCTCCTGCACCTTCTTCTCTCTAGCACTTTTCTGGGGAAATGGAGTCAGCTGTTGCCTCTTTCTGATCACAGAGTAGGGCAGAGAAGCAAATAGGAGATCAAAGTATACCCATACCTCCGCTGTCTAACTGCCCTGATAGCTCAGAGTTGCCTTGCCATGCTCTGGGAAAAGCCAATATCACAAAAGGAAGCCGGAGAGCAGGCAATAGCGGAGGAACAATGAGATAGACCTCTCTCCCACATGCTTCTCCATCTGTTTCTCATGAAGCTTCCATTCCCAGTCAAAGAAGGTGGAGAGATCAGGCTTTTTGCCTTTGGTATGACATGTTCTGCAAAGATGATGCTGATGCCCTTACCACACTCAACAGTGCAAGCCCAAGCCTAGAATGAGGTTCCTGGCCAAGGATGCTATCACTTCAAAAATTAACTGAGCTCTTGTGGTGCCAAAATCTCTGTTTCAGGAAACAGTGACCTCTAAGCAGGTCAGTTGTCTAGCTTGTATATCTCTAGCTCTCTAGAAAGAAAGAATTGAGGAAGAGAAAATAAAGCTCTCTCCTTGAACTTGCATCCGTTTTCCTTTTGGGAAGATCTTTGTCCAGTCATTGAAGAGAAGTATTGAGACTTCTTGCCAAATCACTACCATTTTTTGCATCTACTTAGAAATAGTCCAGCTACAGTAGCAATCTCTTGGGCTCAGTTGTTCTATCCTAGCGAATTGAAAGCTGAGTCTTGGCTCAGCGGGGTGGATGGAGTCCAGCTCAGGCTCCTCAAGAGATATTAAACGGTACAGGTTCATCCTCACCTACCCTCTCTCCCTTTTTCATGATACTTCAGATATCCAGGTTGAGCCCCGAGGCAGAAATTCTGTTCCCTTCCTTTCTTGGGCTGGATGCTGGCACTGCCAAGTTCTTCTGGGGCTGAGAGCCAGGTTGGCAAGGTAGTCTATGCCCCCTTGATCAGAACCAGCTGGGCACACAGAAGTTAAGCAGCCCCTTTCCGGGTTCAGTTCCCTCCAGACAATGTCTTCTACTTAGTGCAACCTTAGTTCTGTGCCCAAAGGAGTCAAACCCACACTTCTTTCCAGCTCAGTTGCCTTTCCCTGGAAGTCTCTCAGATCAGGAGGCAGTAGCCTGCGTGGGGGAAGTGTGTGTGTGTGTGTGTGTGTGTGTGTGTGTGTGTGTGTGTGCGCGCGCGCGCGCACGCGCGCGTTACTCTTCCAGAATGTTCAATTTTTATCTCTGTTGGGAGAGGCAGGTGCTTAGTGGGATATGCTCCAACTCACATTCAGCTCCTTAGTCATGTGCTATGAGAGATCGGGGATGAGAGAAACAGGCTCCCTTCTAAAAACTGGAAGGGATTTGGGGCGAGTGTTGGAGAATGAGGACGGCAGAACAGAAGTGAAGACAGAGAGGGACGTCAGCTTGGCAGTAGGCTGGGGAGAGCGAGGGGTTTTCCTCCGAGGGACTGGGGAAGGAAGAATGGAGAGGTAGGGGCTGGGAGGCGCGTCGAGGGGCCATCAGACAGTCTGCCCGGGGAAGGCTTTCGAATCCTACCTGCAGATCGGCCCCATAGAAGGAAGCCATGGACGCGTCGGCCACCAGCAGGGTTTCCACGAAGCGCGCCTCGGACACGAAGCGCTTGGTCCTACTGGTGCTTCGCAAGGGTGGCGGCAGATCCCCGGCGCCTCCGGCCTCTGCGCGCTGCTCCTCTCCGTCCTCGGGGTCCCCGTCTCCCGTCTCCTGACTCTGTTCCTTCCCCCTCGCCACCTCCCACTCGGGTCCTCGAGGGAGGGGAAGGGCTTGGTCCGGGGCGAGCTCGGGATCCCCGCGGCGCCCCGCGAGCCCCCAGCGCTGCAGGACGTGCGGCTGGTCCAGGGAGTCCCCGGTGCCCCGCGGGTGGATGGCGAACTCCTCGCCGGCCACCAAGAAGGAGCCGCTCAGCCCGCGACACAGGCTGACGGCGGCCAGCGACTCGGGCTCCCCGTTCACGGTGCCCGAGAAGAAGCAGCCGCGCAGTCCCGGCTCGGCCCCGGCCTCCCCGCCCGAGCCCCCGACGAGCTCCACCTTGAACTCGGGAGCCAGGAAGCTGGCGTCGGGCGCCAGGCGCAGCTCGAAGCCCGCGCCGAAGGCGGACAGGTGGAGCACGAGCTCGCCGGCGCG